TAAAAAAAAACAGCAACGTTCACATTTTTTCCCATTATATTTTGGGCGCACTTCGAGCCATCCATTATTCGTACAATCGCTAGCCAGTTTGGAGGCAATCACAAAGGAACATTTGTGACACCATCGACAGTTGTGTTTTAATTAAACGCACTCTGAACTAATAGATGGCGCTACAAACAGCTGAGTAAGGCAACCATTTAACCACCGCCATTTAATTTTTCGAACTTGTTCGTACTGTACATCGTTACAAAGAGTTTACTTGCGAAATTTGAATGCGATTAGCCAAGTCTAAAGTGTTGCACATATTGAAAAAGTAGAAAATGTTACCAGTAATGTGCCACTTTTGGGTAACTGATCAATATCAGGAATGAATGATATTGAGATATGGTTTTAAAACTTTCTACATTGTGGCCAATTAACAACACAAATTCCCCTAGATTGAAATTAAGAAAAAATGCTCCTAAGGGTTTTGGACTCTTACTAAATTTGCCACTGTGTTTAGGTTGTTATATAGTAAAGAAAAACCGGAAAACCCAACTTGACCAGTCAATTTAGGTGAGGGTAGAACCACGACAACTCTTAGTATCTAGTGGTTTTAGCGACTTAATACAGTAGGGTCGGACTTAATGATGGTCATTAAGTCCGACCCTACTGTAAAAATCTTGAGGTATCACGTGGCTAGCCCGTTTGTTCAGGGCCAACGGCTGACCACGTGGAGTTTTCCGGGTTTTATTTACGATTGTAAAACCTAAGTATGAGCCAGTTTCCCTAAAAGACCTCTCTGCAGATCGCCCATTTGTTGCGTTGCCGTAACCAAATAAACCAATCTAAATCACATTTAATTATATAAACCGTTTATTTTCATTGAGTGAAAATTCTTGTTTCTATTGGTTAAAATTTACACTTTTCGGAGAGTTACAAAGCAGATTTTAATGCTCTTTTTTCCCAGTGCAATAATACAATTCTTGTTTGTTTTGATAAATCCAGGAACGAGTTGCATAACTCTCTCGGCTTAAACAGAAGAGTTTACAACACGCTTTTTTGTTCTCCTCCATTCGCCATAACTTATGTTGCTTCTCACCTTTTTACAAAAGTTTCTTGGCATAGTTCCCCGTGTTATGTTACCACAACCGGAAAAGGACAAGAAGTCCTCGTTTCCTTAATAAATTACATCAATTACGTGGAATTTGGCGTATGTAAATCTCGGATAATTCGAAGTTGCGATTATTTCGTTCCTTGAATTTCGAAGTAACGAGGATTTCTTCTAATACAGTATTTGTCTTTAAATAGAGGACACTCTAAATGACGGTGGTATCGAAAAAAAAGCAAAAATGTTCGAAAAATTACACTTACTCGATAACTAAAAGCAGACAAATCCCGATATCGATTTTTATCAGTCTCTTAGATCATAAATGCAAGAACATAAAACATTTCCCACCCCTTAAAGTGGCTAGCAAATCGCCTTCTTAACTTGATATTCGAATACTGCCTAAACCGACCTGCGACCACTCTTCCGTTCGTAACAAATTTCATTTTTCTTTGTCGTTCATTTGCCCACTTCGTTTTTTGATGAATTAATAATTAATTAATCGACGTTTATGTTTTGTCGTAATTTTTACCTGGCATTTAAAGTGTCCAGTTCAATATATTTACTATTTGGAATTCAATTAAAATGAAATATTTACAGCCGAAAAGATAAATAATATACTGTATATGCCCGTATTCTAATTATATATTCTACGTACACTGTCTCTGATAAAACAATATGTATTGATATTGAGGACATCAGTATTAAATTACTGTTCTGTTTTATGATATGTAGGTAAATACAAACTGTATTAAATACTTTAATATTTTTTGTAGATAGACGGTGTCGTGTGTTTTAACTCGTTATTAGCACTTGCAATTTTTTAATAAGCCTCATCCCTAGCCTCAAAATTAAGCCTTTTAATAAAATATCATAACAGATGGCGTTACACACGCAGTTTTAAATGTTGCAGGGAAAAGATAAGCAATCTAGCCATATAAACCGCGAGGAAGAGAAAAGAAGATAAGCAATCTACCCATATAAACCGTGAGGAAGAGAGAAGAAGAAGATAAGCAATTTACCCATATAAACCGTGAGGAAGAGAGAAGAAGAAGAAGATAAACAATCTACCCATATAAACCGTGAGGAAGAGAGAAGAAGAAGAAGATAAGCAATCTACCCATATAAACCGTGAGGAAGAGAGAAAAAGATGAAGATAAGCAATTTACCCATATAAACCGCGAGGAAGAGAGAAGAAGAAGAAAATAAGCAATCTACCCATATAAACCGCGAGGAAGAGAGAAGAAGAAAATAAGCAATCTACCCATATAAACCGCGAGGAAGAGAGAAGAAGAAAATAAGCAATCTACCCATATAAACCGCGAGGAAGAGAGAAGAAGAAGAAGATAAGCAATCTACCTCATTTCTGTTCATTTGTTGTGTTAAGCAAAACAGCCTAAATTACTTCACCAGTTTGTATATTGATACTTATATTAATTTAAAATAAATTTTTAATTAATAAAATATCCGAAGTTTTATCTAAACGCGCAAAGATTAATAAATAGAAACCGAATACAATAAAATATGCGTAAACCGGTATAGCATGGTATGTAATATTAATCCCGTTTAGGCAGGTTTCCGTTTTGGACTGGTTTTGCTGTATTCAAATACATTTGATTCCTGAAGTTTTGGATTTCAAGGTGGATGATAAATATCAGGCAATTTAGACTTATGTTTGGCTAACGATTTGAGTTTTACTTACATTATACAGTATTTGTATTTTTGAATGTATGTCTGTCCGCAACAAAAATTTAGTAATAAAAAACTGTCTAGTGGCTTCGAAGGCTGTCTATCAGAGTTACAAGAGCAAGCAGGAACCAAATTTTTAATTAATATGCTTAAAAATGTAATGTTTATCTTTAGAGAGGTTGCGGCCGACGTTTCAATCGCGAGAATGTGTACGTCAGAGGTTCAGCGCCGTCTTCCTGGCGTTTGGAACGTCAATGGAATCATGCTCGACGTTCCAAACGCAATTGTCAAACTTCTAGGCTTACTCCTTTGTTTCTTTTCTTCTCGGTCCACACCGAGTAGCTTTTCTAATTTTCTGTAAACAAGTAAAATCATTTTTAAAGTGTAAAAATCATACATTTTTGAAGCAGTTCCTGAACTACAACAACAGCATTAAACACCAGGATTATTTAAAATGTTAAAAATAGTGTTCACTACAATATTAGTTTCACAAATACATTTTGATTATCCAGTTTTGAATAAATTATTGTAAATATGTGCAGCGATTTTTCTCAATTAGAAAGTCGTAAAAATTCAATTATTTATAATTTTCTTGTTTTTTTTCGTATTATAAATCTCTGTTCGTCAAATAATATATCCAATAAAAGCTAGCAAAGTTAATAAATACGAGGGGGAATATATATCTTGAGATTTTATCGTAAATATTTAAATCGTTCGCTTCGATTAGTGTATGAATTTTGTTTTTAAAGTAAGATAGCCATATTTTCAGCAGTGAAGGTTCTTTCTCTTCTTCTGAATTTGGACGAGGTTCACAATTTGGAGTTGAATTTGGTTCTAATTCACCATCTAAATTTGGATGCAATTCACTATTTGGAGTTTCTTTCACCTAACAGAGAATAGAAAAGATATAGATTATTTAATTTAGTATTTTGATTTTCTAGTGTTATGAAAATAATTCATATAAAATATTTTTAAAAAATTATTTCATAGAACTTATTAAAGTTCAAAATCTATTAAACTGAAAGTCCTCTAAAGAAACGGCTGAAGTATTTTGGCAAGTCTAAGAACAATATGGAAAACATAACTAATTAACAATATTAAATTACTCAAAGATGCCATTGAGATCTTTTACTCGCGATTTTAGTTATTTTGGTCCTGCTTCATTTCCACTAGTGCACACCAGTGGCCGAGTGGATACTGGACTTTGATTTCGTCACCTACTGCATCCATTGATGTATTTATAAAAGTCCAGCTTCGAAATAAGCATCATCTGCAGTCATCTAATTCTTGCAGCCCATTTTGCTATATTTTATTTCGTGCAATCATCGCAGCATTTTTTTTATATGAAAGCTTGTTGTATTACGAATATGTTTAACGGTAGACCCATTAACGTGGACTCCTACTTTGGCATTTTTAGTTGCATCCGTGAGTCAGTAAGATGAGAATGATCTCATTTCTAGGATTTCCATTATGACAGCATCCACAACAAGCTCTCTCCTAGTTATTAATGCAAAGTACGATGCAAGACCGTTTCACTAAATGCTCACAGAAATGTGTAGATAAAAATATAGTAGAATATGTTTTAAAGAGGTGAAAGTAATTAATTTGACATACCTTTTGCTTCTTTATAACGAAATTATAAGCTAAAGAAAATTCCAGTAAGGATAAAAATATCAGAACGATGCAGAATATAAACCAAATATCCAGAGCCTTTAAATAATCCACAGGAGGCACGAAATTTCTAGACTGGACCAAATGTGTAACTAAAGTCAGGATTGAAGTCACACCCAAAGTGATGCGTGCGGGTGTTGCGTGGACGTCGATCCAAAATGAGAGCCATGACAGCATGACCACTAGTGTACTAGGAATGTAGACATTCATCAGGTTACCGGTCAGACGTCGCATAAACTTAAATTCGGCGATTAATACAGTAACATTTCCTGAAACATACGTAATTACGAGTTTAGCAAAGAAAATTTTCAGTTAAAATAATCTAAAAGTAAATACTGTACATATTAGCCTCGTAACTCCGGATGTGTACAGTTAATATTCGTGATGGTAGTAATGCTTTCCTGAACAGCGCTAAAACATTAAATTTTGCTTTATGCATCTAATTTTTAATCTGAAGATTGCTAATTTTTCAGCATGTGTATTGTCAGTAGGCTGATAAACGTTACTATAGTCTGTGCAGCGAAAGAGTATACGTGAGTCAGCCTGATCTATGTCAGATGAAAGGGATGGAAAGAAACATGATGGATCTGATGTCTTTCAGCTGTTTTGTTTCTTTCATTTCTAAAACGTTTTTTATACAATCTTTATTATACATAATTTTACGGTTTTATATTTTTTACAAATTTTATTACTCACATTAATCACATGTCATTTCTTCTCTTTCATCTGACATACTCTTCCAGCTCAGGCTAATAGTTTCTGCTTTATTCGAAAAAAGTGCATAACAGTTAAGATAAAATACAGTATTTCGTGAAATTTAATATTATTTTATGAGAAATTGAATAAATTTTATTGTTAACTGTTCTATATTTTTATTTTGTCTTGGGAGAATTTATATAAAACCCAGCCACCTCCATTGTGTGCGTTATCGCAAACCCACGGTTTTTATTGAAAAAGGTACCTTAATGCCCGCAAAATTAACAAATAATTTTGATATATTTTCCAGAATACAAGGTATTGATGATATACAATATTGTTCCAAAAAAAATAAGTACTGCATGCTTACCGGTAATCCATACATCCGTAACCCTTTTAGCTTTAACTTCATTCATCTCGTATGTTAATAAATTCATGTTTCGGATGTGTATGCTTTTTCCAAGATATTTGTAAGGACTATTTGATTCTCCCATCCATTTCAGAATGACATCTTTTTCTCTGTCTACAGCTAAAGTATAAATTGAAATATTTTGAAAATTATGGAAATCCGTTTGTTTTGAAATCAAGAATAAAATAATGAATAATGTGCATTTTTAGATGTAAAAACGACATGAATTTTATAAAAATAATTTTCTGCCATTTGTAAATTATATTTATTTGTTTAGATGACGAAACCACACACAAAAACATCATCCTATTGTTTTTAATAATTCGCGTTAGATTGAATTGACGGACAAAAATAGAGGAAAACCTGGAAACCACGTGTTTCAAAGTGATTTCCCACATGTTACATTACCTAATTATCTATTGAAAAGCGATCTCCCACATGCTACATTACCTTACCACGTGTTACAAAGTGATTTTTCAGCGCTAAACGTCGCTCAACAAGCCTAAATTAACTGCATTACAAGTCATACCAATCCGAAAAAAGCAATAATTTTAATTTAATTTATTCGTACAGCATTTATTCTAATTACTATAAATTCGAATTATTACAAATTTTAATAGATTCAGAAGTATTGTACTCTATATTTAATTATTCAATAATTCATTTTTTTGATCGTTCGAAAGTAATAATAAATGACTTACCCAATGTAATTAAAAATTGACAAATTTGTATGTCTAGCGGGTAATCATGCAATTCCATTGGACAGTCCACTAAAAAATTTATCCTGAAAATATATTTTACTACATCAAAATTAAGTAAATTAGACGAGAGAAATTATTGTAAAAATATCAAATTTTCATATAAATCTTCAATTATTTAAATACCTGATACTTGCAAACAGCGATTCGTCTGGAAGAATTTTTAAGTTAAATATATCTGCAGAATCATAAAATTTTTCCATGGTTTTGGCATTAGGATATCCAAATTTTGGTAGCCAAATTTTACTTGCTTTTTTAGTAGGAAAGACTATTGGATATTCGGAAACTAAGTGCTTTAAGTTCAGTCTCCCATCTTTCCAAACAGCTACTATTGCCAAAATCAAGTGAAAATCCTAAAAAAATGTTTAAAAATGATTTATTGTAAGCAAGTTTTAATAACCCTCCATATCTTCTCAATTTACAAGTTACATAAAACTTAAAATTATCAAAGAAAAAGTAATATGCGGAAGATTATATATTAATTCCGATATAAACAATTTGACACAGCTTTTGTTTTTCTTTAAAATATCGAAAATTGTGAAAAACTCTGAGAAATCGATACTCATATAATTTTGTTATTCTAGATATTATATAGACTGTAATATTTAGCTGTATATAAATCCCTGAATGCTCTATGGTTGGTGTCTCTCAGCGCATTTATCTGTAGTCGTTAATGTCAAAAACTGAGTTAGATGAAAATCGATACCAGATATGGAGAGCTTAGGGTCGGAGGCCCCTCGATTATGCAGCCTATGTACTACTTTCGGTCTGGACCGGAAGTTACGTGATTTTTAAAATAATAATAATAATAATAATATACAGTAGACCCCTCTATAACACTGTAGATAATTCTGTGTTATATGAATTCCATGTTGTATGAGTCACTTAGATTTTACACATACGTGAGCCGTTCACAGCCCGGCACATATTTGTAAACTCTAAGTGACTCGTACAACATGGAATTCATATAACACGGAATTATCTACAGTATTATAGGGGGGTCTACTGTACTATGACCGAAATTGTGACGATGTGAAAATAATTCATGTTCAATTTATAAAAAATGTCTATAATGTAGTTCTTTTATTAAGCAGTTATTTAGTTAATATTACGTTCTACAATACTGAAGTATTTGTTTTTATTTTTATAAAATTAGAGAAATTACATTGCCTGTTGTTTCACATGCAATTGTAAGATAATTTGTTTAAAAATTAGATTAAGTAATAATATAAAATTATTATAAAATTTAAAATATATCGTATTTTAAGTTATAATCAATAATATAAAATTTAATATAAAACTCGCCATAGTCGCTTCGTTTATTTTATCGATTCCCAGTATTTGGCACGAAACGTAAACAGATGCTGGTAAATCTGGAAAAAAAAAATTGATTTTCTATTTTTAAAAAGTTCAAGCTTATAAAAACATTACAATTTAATATTTTATTTATTAAAAATCTTATAAAAATAAAGCCGAACGATAGCCGGATTATATCGGGCTGTGTTTCTGCTACTATTATTAATTAAATACTAAGTTATTTGTCACTAGAGGCGGGTGTTAGGCTCCATCTCTTGTTAAATTTAATAATTATAATTAATACAGTATTTTGTATTAATTTTTATTTTATTAATATTATAATGTTATATTTATCAATGGTAATTCATAAACACACAGGCCTGGAAATTTTTGGAATTAATGCTTTTTCTACGTAGAAAATTAGTGATCTTTCTGCAAGAAAAAGCACTAATTTAACAAAGCGAAAAAGCACGCGACTTGCAGCGAATGTCGTTAAAAAACGCCATCTGCTGGAGGTCGCGTGCATAACCTCATAACTGACAAATAAGACAAACACAAAACTTATCCAACGATTGTATAATTTGTTTTGAGATTGGCTAAAATTGTTTTGTATGATTATCGGTCGAAAAGTAGGCAATATTTGATTGGCCAACGAAGTTATTTATATACTAAGCGTCCTAATTCTTTTGTGTATTTTATATTTCTTGATGTAATTATATTTTTATGGTAAAAATATGAGTAATTACTATCAACTTCTATCATCAATAACATAGTTCTTCGTTTGCACGTAGCTTTGTTTACATCGTGCCCGAGTTCTGTATGTTCAGGGTAATCTGATGGGGTGTAACGGTTCGAAAATAATCACTCTGTCACGAAATTAGCTGATTTTATACAGCCGATAGATATTCTAAGGAAAAGGAAATTATATATAAATATTTTTGTCCAATAAAGTAAATGTAAAGTAATTATTTGAATATAATTAAATAGTAGAAAAGAAAGTAAGGTAAGTAAACACAGGTAATTGGCTTTTACTGGAAAACAAATTATCGTTCAACAAATTAGAAAACTCCTTCAATGAGCTCAAACTTATCTTCACGCGATGGTTGCAGTTTTAATAGTTCTTGCCGGGAAAGTTACGCAACCCGTTGCTACGTTTGCTTGTTTCAATTATAGATTAAAATAGATACTTACTGAAACATCAAACACCTATCACTGAAAAATGTTTATTAAACGAAACACTAACGTCTTCAACCTAATAGAATAGATCCTCTTCGGGTGTAACTCTATTATGTTGAAACGAAACTCTATTTAATAAACATTTCTCAGCGATAGAAGGTGTTTGAGGTTTAATTGAGTGTTTAAAAAAGGATGAGTTTGATATTTGGTTATAAATAGATATTTATCTGTTATTAGATCAATTCTAGCCGGTTCCTAATTAACTTTTATAGTTTCTTATATAATTTCAAATTAATACAGTGTAAAAATATTTTAAATTTTCATGAAAACATTGTCGCTCAGATTTTTGTCCCTACGATTCCAGATAATTTGACGATCTTTCAATACAATTTTGGTTCTTGTCGTGCTTAATACCTCCAAACTATAAGAATTGTGAAAAACCAACATCTTCCTCTAACCTGAAGAGCTTTATGAGATGAGCTGTACAAAATTATGTATGATGTATGCCTACGTAATCCCGTTCTCTCTGAGTTTATCTCGTGAATCTCCACTTTTCACCAATGCTAAACTGCATCCTGTATGTTCCCAGCTTCAATCTCAGTTGCCACTTGGATAATTTACCTTCTCAAAATTTTTACCTCTGGATACAAAATTTGTATCCAATCCATTTTTCGGCGTCATGCGTAAATACGTATTGTACTACATTGTTTATTTGTAGCTTAAATAGCAGGGATATCCTGTAATAAACACGTCGTTAAGATTCAAAAATTTATGAAATATTTACCTATTATATGAGTGAGACATTGTGAATAGAGAGAGAGCGAGAGAGACGTTGGAAGCTGTATGAACATTATCAAATACTTGGGTACAGTTCCGAAGTGGCAGGTTACCGACCCGTGGTATAAACGATTCAAACACGAATACGTATAGACACGAATCAAATGGTGCAGATTGAACGCATGCTAAGAGGGAGGCGACCTGTACACATGCTGACTGTAAATCAAATAAATGTTCTGTAAAGACTTATTTAAAACATAAATAAATACAAATTATTAGACACTTGAACGTTTGTGGAGCCTTCGGAACTGATCTGCGGACCCCAGTTTGGGAAACGAATTAATAACAATATTTATGTGTGTGTAAATGGTGACACAATGTCCGGTCAATCGTACAGAAAATTAATCTTATGTTCCATTTGTTATTTGTTTCAGATAAAAATGAAAAATAGCTGATTCAAATAACTGCAAATTGTAGAACGTGTAGGTTAACTGTTAGTTGTTGGATTTATAAAAGGGTAACAACAGGGAAAACGATGAAAAGGGTGAGTGCATACTATCAGCAGAGATTTATACCAAAGTCTCCTCCATAAATAAATAAAAAGAAAAACCACCCCTTCCGTTGTTTTCCTTGTTGTATCCCTCTCATAAATCCAACAGTAACAATTATACGGTCATTCAATAGTGTAATTAATTGAATCAGCAATATTTCAGGTTCTTTTATCTGAAGGAAACAATAACTGGAACATACGATTAATTTTTTTATAGGATGATAGGATTTCGTGCCACCCTGCATGAACGATTTGTTAATATAATAAATGTATTTGTATCTGTCATAATAAGCCATAACCATGTTACCATGGTTAATATAGGAAATATAGTATATTAATACATTTTTAAAATATGAACAAAATATATTTGAAATTGTAAAAATTTAGATTAAAAATTAAACTAATTAAATTCATAAAACACAGTGTATGTATATAAACAATTAAGACAATTATGACCTACGATTAAGTACTTAATTATATTACTCCTCCTTAAAAGATAACATTTATTTGTTCAATTATATTCGTTGGGCTGAAATTTTCAAAATTATAGAACTATAAATTCTCACTGGCGTCAGTCTGTCTGTGTGTCCGTCCTTAATCTCGAGGACGGACACACAGACAGGAGTTAAATGAAAGACGAGACCAAATACGGAAATTTATGGATAGGAGGTCCTGATTAACTTTCTCATGAACGGTGTTACATAAATGCCTAGCATGACTCCATTGTTAACAGGAAAAGTATGATGCACAGGGCAGGACACTACAAAAATTGAGAGCATTGTGACGAAAAATTGCAGCCCGCTATTGTGACAATGTCACGTTAAATAAATGTTCGTTTATTGAACTTACTATTAATGATTGGTGGAAGGTCAGGATTGTAGTCTTTGGGAATAATTTCAATATCTTCTGTTCCACTTTAAAAGAAAGGATCAACAATTAATAATTTCAAGTATTGTATCATATAGGAAATTTACTAATCAAATTTTATTTTAATTTGATCAATAACTTGTTATAAAAATTAAAATAGTGAATTTAATTGCTGATAACATCGATCTTTTAAATAACACTCATTTAATTTTATAGAACTTACATATTATTTACGGTGTAGAATGATATATTTTTTTTAAAAAATAACATTAAATAAATTTAAATTATTGAATATGTACTACACTAAAAAGCATAATAATGTTTACTAATGCTAAATTTAAAAAATTGAAATTAGTTTATAGCATTTTAACAATAATTTTTGACCTTAACGAACATATTTTGATGGAATAATGAAATTATTATTAAAATTATTAATAACTTAGGCTATTGTCTATTAATTTCCATACGATTGCAGTATTAACAGGTGTTAAATATTAATATAAGTTATTTGTAATGAGAAAGGATAACGCATAACTTTCAGGAAGCGAAAAGAAAACGAAACAACCAGCAGTAAGGCCAATTTTTCAGTTAAAAGAAGGGTGATAAAGAAAATTAAACAAATTTCTCATGCCGTTAAATGAGCGATCTAAAATTTAAATTGTGTATAAAAATACAAAATAACTCTCC